GGGGGGTAACAATCAGTGACATTGAGGCTGGCTGGGGCTGAGGCGACACAGGCGACACGACTGGGCGTGCCTGCCGGCCACGGCCGACCGTCGATCGGACTCACCCGCGGCGAATCGGCTGCACTTGTAGAAAGAGGTTCAAAGTCTGAAATGTTGCTCTAAATATTTTTGTAAAAATTCCACTCAATGAAAATGCTTGCATAAAATATAAAAATCCACGCGAAATGTTGTTTATTTCTTGGCAAACTTGCCGCGTTTTTGTTGCGTGATTTATTTTTGTTACTGGCTGGTCTACTCCACTTGTCTCAAGTGCGGATCAGGACCACCCTCTGAATGTCTGACATCACGCCTAGTTTGTTTGTTTATTCATACACCTGGGCAGGTGGGAGTGTACTTGTGTCAACCAAATGACAGTAGGAGGAGTGTACAGTCCGTTTTCTCCAACAGTCTCTCTCTGTGTGTTGCAGGCCTCACGATGGACGGCGGGCTGGTGGCGCCGCAGTCCCCCCTGGACATGAAGCCTGACCCGTCCATGCTCGGGGTCAGCCCGCACAGCCCAACCAAGTGAGTGCAAAACAAAACAAAAAGTCAAAGAAGAAAATATAATAATATAGACGCAGGTACACAAATTTAGTTATCTTCAAGGAAGTGGAGTACTTTTTTCCGCCACGGCATTCTGATTGAGTTGAGCTTTTTAGACGTAATAGTGAATTACTCCTTCAGGATGAATGAAAGAAACTACCTCACTCTCTAAAAATGACATAATTTGTGTACACACCTTAAGATGGTCTCTTGCATACATTCTATTTTATTTGTCAAGGTTAAAATGTTTTTGTAGGTTGTTGAAAACACAGCTCAAAACTTGTCGTCCTTTTTAACCAAAGTGGAGGTGTCTCAGTTTCCTTAGAAGCTTTTAAACTATTGTTTTGAAGAATTATTTTTAAGAATTTGGCACCAGGTGTAATGTTCCTTACAGTTCTCTACCCTTAGTTTTTGAGTATTTTCAATGTTGATGCTCTGCTGCAGGCATTATCCCTCATATTACGTTGTATATAAGTTTTTATTATTCTTACTAGAACTGTCTCTGTTTTTCTCTACTAGTTTGCTAAACAATCAAAAATACAATTTGAGGTTGAGGCTTTGACTATGATCCTTAGCATGTGCATGTGCACTGTTTAGCTACACATAGTGGTAGTCTTCTGTAGGGTTCTCGAGCCACGCTTTGTGAATGCCCTGTCGCTACTAACTAGTTTCCCTGGTCTGTTTTGTTGCGTGCAAAGTGGTTCAACAGAGCCCGGCATGTTTTTCAGCTCATTCAACATGGGAGTGGGAATGATAAACAACTCTGGAGGATCTGGGCAGAACAAGAACTCAGGCAGCACATCGCCGTACCCTCCGAACCATCCTCTGAGTGGTTCCAAGCACCTCTGCTCTATTTGTGGCGACAGAGCTAGTGGAAAACATTACGGCGTATACAGGTTTGTGTTCAAGTCACCAATCTTCTCAATAATCCTGTAGGATATGTACTACTATCTCTTTTTCATTAGCTGTGAAGGCTGCAAAGGATTTTTCAAAAGGACTGTTCGGAAAGATTTGTCTTATGCATGCAGAGAAGATCGAAACTGTATCATTGACAAGCGACAGAGGAATAGATGTCAGTACTGCCGTTACCAAAAATGTCTCGCTATGGGAATGAAGCGTGAAGCAGTCCAGGTAATTACTTTCCATCAATTTTTCATTGTAAATTGTTCCTAGTTCTTCATTGTTTTACAATACATAGAATCTCAATGAAATTCAGGAGGAGAGACAGCGCACCAGAGAAAGAGACCAAGGTGAAGTGGAGTCAACAAGTTCAGTCAACACTGATATGCGAATCGAGCAAATCTTGGAAGCTGATCGTCGAGTGGAGTGTAAACAGGAAAACTCAGCAGAGATTGAGGTGAATTACCATTCTATTAATTTGAAAATTTTATTTCAATCTATATATCTGTACTGATTTGAAATGTCAGTCAAACACATTCAATGAGGCATAACTACTAGCAGAATTATGGTAGCTTTACCATTGCCAGCCTGGTATGGTTGTGCTAAGATGCTTAAGAACTGGTTTTGAAAAATACTTTAAATATTTCTCAGCATCATATGTGGATACTTAGGTTTCACATCATGTTATTTCTGAATTTAAATTTTAAATATGTAAATATTTTCACTTTTAAATCCCAATATTATGGGATGCCTTAAAAGAGAATTGCCTAGCTTAATCTAGGCCTCCTGAATATAAAGGAAAGCATGGTGTGAATGTGTTTTGCAGAGGTGGAATAAGGCGATCGCATCTTTTGGTTGTGTGTCGCAGAACGCAATGACCAACATCTGCCAGGCTACCAATCGACAGCTGTTCCAGTTGGTGGACTGGGCTAAGAACATCCCTCACTTTGTTTCCCTTCCTCTTGAGGACCAGGTGTTGCTTCTTAGAGCTGGTGAGTACTGCATGTGCATGCATGTATCCAACCAACAATTTTTTCTAATCAAAATTTATTTTTATTCTTAAAGTTGTTTATAGCATAGCTAACTCCCACTGTTAGTACTTTTTATAATTCTCTACTTATATTACAGGGTGGAATGAACTCCTTATAGCCGCATTTTCACATCGCTCTATTGATGTTGAAGATGGCATAGTACTTGCAAATGGTCTCACGGTGCACCGAAATTCAGCACATCAGGCAGGTGTGGGAAATATTTTTGACAGAGTGCTCACAGAATTGGTTCATAAAATGAGGGACATGCGAATGGATAAATCTGAACTTGCATGTCTTCGAACAATTATTTTATTCAACCCAGGTAAATATATTGAAACCTTTGCTTTTTAAATAAAGTTCAAGGAATTCGTAAGTCTTAATTTAATCTTGTTTGATGTCCAACTTATTTTTCTTTCTTTTATTCGTTAATTGCAGAGGTAAAAGGATTGAGGTCTAAACAGGAAGTTGATGGACTTCGTGAGAAAGTTTATGCAACCTTGGAAGAATATACGAGGGTTACACATCCTAATGACCCTGCCCGTTTCTCCAAATTGTTGCTTCGTCTACCTCCATTACGCTCAATTGGCCTTAAGTGCCTAGAGCACCTCTTTTTCTTCAAGCTAATTGGTGATGTACCTATTGATACCTTCCTCATGGAAATGCTTGAGTCACCCTCTGACCCTTAGAATAATGTTAGTTGCTATTCTATAAGGTGATTCTTTGGAACCCTAATAACTCATTTTTCTCAAGGTAGTCTGCATTTATGTCCATTTATTGTTTAACTATGCCTTTGTAGTTAACATGGTTAATAATTAAACAGTCAACCAGACTTTTTATGGTTCATTTTATCTTGGTGAAATATAAAGATTAATAAAATACTGGTCATAACTACTTCTACTACTGGTCTACTGGGCTCCCATCGAGGGACCCATGTTATTGTTGGCCTCACTCCTGAACTGTTTGAGTTCATCACGTTCAATGTAAGACTTCATGGTATATGTTGGATTTTTTTTTTTTTATTTTTTTTGTTTCAAATACTATTTGTTGTTGAAGAAGAAATTTGTCTATCTGCTGATTTAACAACCATAAATAAGTTTGGTATTCAGTGCTTTTTAGTTGTAGACTTTCATTTCCTTTATAAAATTATAAATTGTGTAAAGATTTTAAAATTTTACTATTTATTTTCTTACAGATCATAGTTATCTTTTTTTTGTCCTTATTGTTTCTGTCTATTGACTAAGTGAAAATTAATCAATTTTAGTAGTAGTCATTTATTTTTGTTTTTGTTTTGATCTACCTCTTACCTGTGAGAGCTGACATGGATAAATCATTGACTTTCATGCTTCACTTGACAACTATGTGATTTTGCTATAACAAATTTTGAAAATATTTTTTTTTTATGGAAACTGTTCCCTTTGAAAGTGCATAACTATTTTTATGCTGATTGTATTTGGCATTGTGTTACTGTAAGTCTTAAATATGCCCTTGACGGAGGTTAGCTTGACTTCCAGTTTATGCAAGTCAAATAACTTTCCATGAGTGACTCAAGCTCCTTTTAAAAAGGTACCGATTTCAGAGCTATCTGTGACTTTGTTCAGGATGCTCAAAGTGTCAGTCAATCTGTGGAGTCCTTGACCCTTTCCCCAAACTCAAATCCAGATTGTATCCATCAATCTTTTTCTTGTCGTTTCTTGTGACAATTTGCATTTGTCATACAAATTTGTAAGATCTTTTGAGACATTATCAAGTACTGTTAATGCACACATGTCAAGACAATTTGTTTTTCAAAGGAAAAGAATGGTGCTATTTACTTTTTCTATCTATTATTTGTTATTCTTGTGGATTTAAAATCCTTGTTTTAATTACTTGTTTGTCGAAACCTCAAGCATAAATGTTATGCTCACTATTGTATCTACATTTTCAATGAACTCTGAAGTTTGAATTAATTTTCTGGCACCTTCACAAAGAACTGCCATTTGTGCCTTTTTTTCAGGTAGTTTTTCTAGATTTCATTGGGAAAGTTGTTTGGAATTTCTTGTCGCATTTTACGCTTTTACTTAGTGGTTTTATTAAATCTATCTGTTGTTTGTTACTTAATGGTTGTGTTTATGAAAGCGGTAACTGCCTTTTGTATAATCCTTCAGTAAGAAGGAAATCATGAGGAAGTGAACATATTTTTGACTCTTTATCAAGATACCCCCATCAGTGAGAAAGTATTGTGTAAGAGAGGCTAAACTGATCATAATAGTTGTGACCTGCAAGACAGTAAGATTTATGTATTATTTCAGTGAATTGTAACTATGGCATTAGCTCTATAGTATTCATGTTTTTCTCTTTGCAAAAATCAATAATGTATATTTTTTCCAAAGCTCATATAACCTTACCGTAGTTCATTTGTAATCTTTATGATGAAATCTAAGTACAAATTATTATTACTTGTATGTAGTTAATTCCATGATTATCTTAATTAATGTGTAAATGAACTTAATGGTCTGAAGTTTAAGTGCTAAACTTCAGAAGTTTACATCTAAATGCTTTTCTTCTTTTACCTAACTTTTGCATTTTGTAATATTTATGATCATCATTCACTTTTGCTCATTCTTTGTTTCACACAGATTGAGTCTCACATTTTCATCCCATATTTAAATGTTGGAACTGTACTCAACTGCAATTTTATATTGTGTCTCTTTTCACTCATACATTAAACCAAGTCAAAATATGAGCTGCTTACCACCTTCAATCATCACAATTTTGTTTAAACTAGGTGTGTGTTGTTAATGGTGAGGAGAACCCACATTCCAATGATGTAACTACGAATGGAAAACTGTACATGTTTGTTGTGTGGCATGCATTTTGTAACTACTCAAAATTACTGGTATCATAAATGATGATGATATCCTTTACAACATCACCGATTTCTTGGAATAGCTGTTTAATGTTATTGATTGGTTGAATTGTATTGCAAGCACAGTTGACTGTAGTGGAGACAATTTGATAACAAATAGTGGCAGACATCTAGTCAGTTTAGGTGGCTGACACTTCTTGATGTTTTCCGTTATGTCAAACTCATTTAGACCCTTTTCAATACTAGTGACTTACTCATTTGATTTTCTAGGTCTCGTGATTTTAAGTCTACAGAATGTGAAACTTTGGGTGTAATTGTTGAAATTTCTAAAGTATTTTAGTCTTGAAAAAATGTTAAGATTTTAGATACTGTTTTATTATCTCTTATGATTTCTATTCTTTTGTCTTAGCTTACTTTTTCCTTTAGAGTAAAAATTTCTATATTTTTTTAAAAAAATCACAATTTGATAAATGTTATGTTTCTAATAGATTTTTATGAGACTTCCATCTGAGTTGCTTTTTGGTTGTGAACTTCTGCCTCTGAATTGGAGAGCAGGAAACGGACTTATGTGCCTTGTGACTTTATCCATGTCAGAGATGAGAAAGTCATTTGAAAAGGATTGTTATTTTTTGATTACTAGATTTACTAAATTAGAGATGATAAATGATGATAGAGATGCTTTAATTTTAAGACCTTAAATCAATTGTACCTCATCTTGTGACTAGAACATATTGGTCAACTTAGAGTAAACATAGTAGATGATATATTTAATGTGAATCGAAGATATGTGATATGTTTTCCTGTTTCGTGAGTGCCAGTCTAACACCTCATTCTCCCCTCCCACTTTGATAGGCTTCCAGCTATAACCTTTGGTTTTTGTAACCGTTGCTCTAAATATTTTATGAATCAGCTTTTATGAATGTCTTTGTGTACAGTTGTTTGTAGGATGAAATGTAGGCTGCAGGTTGTTTTTGGTACTGTGCACAATTATTTTTTATTGATAGGCAGATAGATACCTTACAAATTTACCTGTGTGATGATATTAGTGTTCTGGTATCCTCTTGTTGTCGTTCTTGTTTTAAGATGTTCTTGTTAGATTTAATAAAGCACCTGTTCAAAAGTGAAGTGCCCGCTTGATTGGATATTTTTCACCTTCAAGGAATGATTACTTTACAGCACACTAAATAACACTATACCGGCCCAGAAATAACAAGCAAGTGTGACTGGCTAGTCCGGCAATCGGACGCGTCAACATTGGACATTCAGTAACCAGTATATCACATGTCAAATGCGAATCTCCAAATAGGACTTCGCTGTCAAAACACATTAAATTTTGCTTTCTTTTAGTTTGGAGTGACGATCACTTGCAGGGATTTCGGAGGGCGGCCGCCGCGGGGAAGAGCCTCCGAGTCTCAGCGCTTGCTCTCTCTGGCCTTGGCCCTCTCGTCCCGCGCCATCCTGGACGAGGCAGCGGAGGCCACCGACGACGCGACTGAGGAGGTTGACGGCGAGGATCTCGGTGAGGAGGGCGCCGACGTCGCCGTCGAGGCCGTGCTGCTGGCCCTGGACGCCCTGGAGCTCGCTGCCGGTGCGGCTCGGGAGCGGGCGGGGGCAGCGGGGGCGGCTGCTAGTGCGGCTGAGGGGGCTTGTTGCTTCGGCTTGACGGGGGGCAGCTTGAAGGAGCCCGACGCACCGCGCCCCGTGGTCTGCACCACTCCGCCGTCGCTGACCGCGCCGCGGAGGAACTTGCGGATGCGAGGCGCGCGGTAGCGCATGTCGACCTGGGCGGGCACGGCGG